TGAAACTAGATGATCTTGAGGTCCTTTCCAAGCCGCACTATTCTATGATTCTATTTGGGGTGCCAGACCAATTTCCATTTCCTTTTTTGAAAGGCAAGTAATATCAAGGGAGGAGTAGATACTTAGCAAAAGTTGCTATGGTTAAGATGGGTTTCTAACTGGATAGTGAGAAGCCAGAAATACATATTATGATTCCTGAGACATCCCTATTCTCTGCCCAGTGCATGCTTCCACTGCTTGGTGTTGTCTCTGAGTGTGCTTCAGCCAACATTATTCACTCCTGCTTTGTTACCAAGAGCCAAGTGCTTACTGGCTTTTCCACAACTGATCAAAACAGAAAGAAATCAACAAAACTACACCACCTTTTGGTTCAAGAAGAGTGAGAAGAGCGAAAGCAAGCAGCATTGTGCTCTACTGTGTGCCATGGTTCATGCACAGATGCTCAAAAGCAAGAGCAGTTACCTAACTCAGACTTGGAGATCAGAGCTTCACAAGACCCCAGGCCAGTGAGCAACATGACCCTGCTCTGCTTGTCTCTTGTCTAATGGCCTGGAAACATCACGTGGCAGGTCAAGATGCTGCTTTCCACTGTCCTGCTCACTGCCACAGGTAGAGCTTCCTGTTCTCTGCATCCCACTCTTACCTTAAAAGGCACTGCAGATTTATAGGAGTCAGGCACTTCCCAGCTCAGCAACACAGACGTTTTCATGACGGCATTGACGCGGAAGTTCTTAGCAAACACTGAAATGAAAAACAAGATTTTTGAGCACTGTAAGACCAAATCAGGAGGGAGCCAGGCAGCAGCTCGGTTCCAAGTCTCTCTTTGTCTATCTCAGCAGCAGAGGTCAAACAGTTCAGCTACAACAGAGAAGTGAGATGAGGAGAAATGAGCAGCAGCCTTTTTTACCAAGTCTCCAGTCTCCAGTGGAGTTCTGCTTTTTGACTATAATTTCCACCATCACAGAAAGGAAGTCGCACGCTTAACCGTAGTGTTCCTCTCTCCCCCTTCCACTCACACTCTCTTTGGCCGTTTGCCGTGATCAAAGAACAGTGGTGCTCAGGTACTGGATCTGCAGATCATCCTACCCAGCTGCCTGCTCCAGTTCAAGCAGGAGCCTTTCATGTACAGACAAAACATCAAAGTGTGCCTGTGGAGCAATGAAGGCAATTAAGCTACCACCAACGCCCCTCTTTCCCCAAATGGCAACTTTAAGGAAACCTTTGCTGAGCGTCCCCTTGCCGAACTAGTTTTAGACTAGGGAGCCACACAGTACCTGATCTCATTAAGTCAGAGCAAGGGGAAGTGTAGCCTCATGAACTGAAGCAAAGGCCCCTTGCTTGCTGTTAGGGCTTGTTAGATGGGCACTTACCTTGCTCAACAGGCATGGTCCGGGACTGGATGCTGGGGCTGAGTGGCCCAACCCCCTTATTGGTGCGGGCCCTCACTTTGATGTCGTAAGTGGTATCAGGCTTCAAATTCGTCAAAGTGATACTTGTATCCTTGGTGATGTTAACCAGGTCCTGCTGGCTATTTATGTCCCTGTATACCACTGTGTAGTTGACTATCTTGCCGTTTCTTTCTGCCAAGACTGGAGGGTCCCATGCAACTTCTGTGGTGGAAGTGGTGAGACCCACCACACGCAGGTTCTGTGGGAAGCCGCTTGGCACATCTTCTGCAGTAGTGATCTCCTTCTCAAACTCCTCTCCTGGGCCAGCTCTGTTCTTGGCAGACAATTTGAAGAGGTACGTGGCCCCCTTATGCAGGTTGGTCACAGTGTAGTGATGGTCTCTCTTCCCAAAGTCTATCGTGTTCATCTTTTCCTCATCAAGACGTCTGTACTGCAGCCTGTAACCCAGCAGCTCCCCTACCATCTCCTTGGGTGGGTGCCACTGGATGAGGGCTGTGTTCATGGCTGTCGTGCTAATCATCATGGTGGGCTTCCCCGGGACTGCAACATAAACACACAATGACCATCTATAGCCTGGAAGGAGGGCAAGGAAGGACCGCTTCTGTGCTGCTCAGTCCAAGAGGATTGAGGAAAGTGGGAAAGTTCAGATAACAGGGTGAAGAGGACGACAGACAATTCACATGGATAAGAGGCAGACTGACCCTAATCCGGTGATGAGGGAAGCTGGACTCAGCCAGCTTTTGGCTGCCATTTAAACAGGGAATAAGTTCAGCCATATCCAGCCCCAAAATTCATCCCCTTTTATAGGAAAGATTTAAGGTACCTCAAAGCATCACATTTAACTCAGAGAAGATAGGAATCCCGTCCTCCCAATCAGTGGTCTTCAGACACTCCAGCTAGTGTGCAGCACCAGACCATGCTGGCCCCAGTGCACTGTACCACAACAGACACACAGAAGCCCATGTCCAGCACCCTGATCTGTCTGGAGGCAGATTAATTTCATCCTGAAACCTTGCAGTTTTACCATGTGCAGAGGCAGCGAGCAGAGCTGGGCAGGCTGTTTGCCATCAGAATACATTTTGGTTTAGCTGATGAGCAGATTCATGATGTCAGTGTCGATGTGAAAGGTGAACACAAGCGTTCCACAGGATTTTGCTTATGCTGCACAAGTCAAGGGGTGTTGTCATCACTGGTTAGGAACTGACGGTTTTAAATTGGTGGTTTAATACCTTGATCTCCTTCAGTTAAAAAAGGATGTGTCTTCGCTTCACATCAGCTCAGATTTGTAAACAAATCAACTGATAGGGAAGATACTCAGAATCAAAGGGAGGGGGCCACTGATATGAAAATGAAAATGGGGTTGTAGCCAAACTTAGGTAAATAAAATATCCTTGAACAGTTTTGAAATGTATGAGCCCACAGATGAACACAAGAAAAACGTATCTGACAGAATTATGCCTCGATTTTGCCATCAGAGGGCGATACCAACACTCCCCTTTGAGGTCAAACCTGCAGACAAGCCTGTACAAAGGCAGCTCTGGGGTGGTTCTGTAGATAGTTAAGACATACAATTACATTTTCACTGCCACTGCCATCCTCCTTGCACTCATAAGACAATGTCTAAGAGCGGCTGGTATTAAGGGACACATTATTTTCAAAGCTGATTCCAAATATTAACTTCAACTGTGCATCATAACATGGGAAGACCCACTGTGGTTTACAGTGCAACACTGGTATGTTTAGGAAGCTTTTCCTGTTTATAGGACAGCTGCAGCAATGTGATGAGCAGAGCATACATCATGGCGAGGCACAAGGGAGACAGCATTTGAGATTGTGACAGTGGAAACTACCTCTGGAGCTCCCCATATGCAGTGCGGAGGAGATGGCAAGCTGTTCCCTGCTTAAAATCACCAGGAACAAACGCTCTCAGTTTGCACAAGCTGCATTCCCATAATAACAAGTGGTAAATACTGTTCCTGTGGATGGTGTGAGGAAGCAGCAGGATTATCAGTTGTAGGACAAGTCTAGTGAGTGGAAATCGTGGTCAAGACAATGTCAACTAGTTGGTGCCACCGCCAAAGGCAAGTTTGACCGCATCCGCAGGAAAGCACCTGATGAAATCCTGTGTGCCCCTGCTCCAGGCCGAGGCTCCTGTGTTCCACTAGGCACAGGGTACAAGTCTCTGCTGACACTGCAGAACCAAACTGGCTGGGATCACCAGGACCTAGAAGTTGTGTCCGCAGCACTCCTATGGCAGGATTTGTTGCATTCCAGATTTTACCACGGCTCTAGGAGCAGCTGGGCTCAGCTACGTAAGCCTGGGGAGACAGCAGTAGCAATGGCTGGGGGGGAAGCTGAGAAGCACCTCTGAGGAGCCCTCTGTGCCAAGAGCCATCCCCGACAGCACTGTAGTCACCACAGGAAGCAAGAAATGGCACTTCTCTATGGGAACAAGGTGAGGACAGGCCATAACTCCAAAGCTGAGGGAGGGCCTGGACTTTCAGGCTTCCTCTTTCCAGGTTTCTGGCCTATGCAGATGAGCTCAGACCCATGAGTTTCATTGCTCTCTCACGGGCCCTGGCAGTGTCTGTCCATCTGGTTGCTGTACTTTGCTCAAGTGATCCAGTGGCAAAGCCTGTAAATAAGGGCTGGAGATCACATGAGTATGTGCCTCTGTAGCATCTCCAGCCCTCTCGCTTTCTCCTGTACAGGTGCCTTGGTCATACTTCCCATGCCTCTTGGGAGGTTTTACTACGACTCCTAAGAGGCTGTGGCATCTGCTCCCCACACTCACCTGCCCCTGTGGTGGTGATGACTTTCGGCTTGCTGCGGGCACCATCACCTTTGGTGGTGTAGGCAGCAACTGTGACGGAGTAGGTGGTTTCCGGCAGCAGGCCTCCAATGACTGTCTCCTGGGAGCACATCCACGAGGCAGAGAAGGGGCAAATGAGAAGAACAAATACGTGTTACCGGAATGAGCAAAGGAGGGCACTGGGGTCAGTGTCTCGAACAGCAACACACCAACACACTCACTGATCCACACTCATGCATTGTACTCAAGCACATATCTCGCACAGCCAGCAAAGAATTGCTGCCACTCCAACACTCATCCGCCTCATTTCAACCCCTGCCTCTAACACTTGGCCTTTCCAGGGACCCACCAGCAACCTGTGTCAGCAGCTCTGCTCTCCCACGGCTTCTGCCAAGAGCGAGATCTGCTCCAGACAGTCCTGTGTGAAGCCTGAGAGTTAAGAGGACTGTGGAGCTGTGAACCAGAGCAAAAGCCAGTTCAGCTGGCTGGGGAAATCTCTTGGGGGCTAATTTGGGGATTTTTAAAGTTGTCTTTTGCAGCAGAGCCGCAGGGGGCACAGAGAGGCAACGCACGGTCGGGGGCCCCAGGCAGGGAGCACCTGCAGTGCTACAGCAGTGTGTTCACCTCCTTGCCAGGCACAGCACTGAAGGGATGGGACAAGGTCAGCTCAAGGCACTGGCAAGACCTGGAGGGAAAACCCTGCTCTGTGGGAGGTCTGGGAGGAGGGCAGACTCGGCAGGGTGCTAGCATCCCTGCATGTTCTGGCTTCCTCTGGGCAGGAGGAGGGCATGGCTCTGCACTTCAATTTGAGATCAAAGAGGGGAGCATGACTCCTCCCTCCTGGCCTCCAGCAGCAACATGACTTTTGCCAAGTGTATCTGGCCAGGCCTGCAAACGAGCAAGCGCAGTGAGCTCAGCAGCTCACAGAAGCATTCTGTGAGCTCAGGGCAGGTACCCCTCACTGCATTCATCTGTGGGTATTGTAAAAGTGACCAGGGCCATTAGCACTAATAACCCATCAGGTCAGGGAGCAACAGACAACTTGGCTGGAAAAGAGGGTGGGGAAGCTTTTGGAAAGGAAGCAGAGGTTCCGGGTTGGTTATTTACCCTTTCACACAAGAAGTGCAGCGATGGAGAGGGACAAGGCAGCATGGGCACTGTTAAGAGGCTGCTCCAGGGGTCTGATCTCTGCCCAAGGGATCCCTGTCAGCTTGAGGGGAATGAAGGGTGCTTGTGGCTGCTCTCAGAGCACAGCCAGTCCTCCCATCACTCACTCACACAAACATGCACACTATTAAAACTGCTGATTTCCAGTCAGCACTGCTGGTTCAGGTTACCTGCCCAGGCTTACTCATCAAAATCACCGTGTTACCATTGCGGAACCAGCCAGCCCAGGGAAAAATCAACAAGCACCAACAAGAACCCCGCCAAAATCACCGTGTGAACCAGAGTTCAATCCCAACTCCGCCCCTGCAGCAGATTGTGTGTGCAGGTGAGTGGACGCGCAGTCCGATCGGTGCCAATGGACCCGCGGGGGAAGCACTCACACAAAACCTGCAGACTCTGAACATCCCAAGAGAATTCACTCCTCCCAAATCCATGCAAAGAGAAATTCTCACGCAAAAGCATGCCACCAGGAGCAAAGCAAGCGAGCTGAGAGGAGGGGAAGAGAGATGAGGGATGGATGAAAGAATGTCTGATTGCATAATGTAAACACAGTGCTGCCATGACAAAGACATTCTGTGCAAGAATCCTCCGTAAAAAGCAGGAGGAGAAATGCATTGTGCCAGGGAAACTCACAGTAGGGCAAATAATTGAATTGCTGACTCTAAAAAGGTCATTTTCCAGTTTGTTCCTCCAAATTTATATTTCAAAATTATGTGGGAAAAATTGGATTTAACTGTTTAAATGTGATTGTTTCCTTATTACGATCTGTGTTTCAGCCAAAGGTCACGGTTGAGAGTGTAGTTATTTTTCATGACTACGATCAATGTGGTTTAAAGATTATATATCTAATTTTACCATGTAACTTGGTGGGCCAACTACTGCAGAAAGTAGGATGCACCTCCCGAGTTGATCACTTGAGCCTGCCTAAAACTGCACTGCAACAAGCTGGAAATACAGATTATAGGAAATGTCAATTGCTTTTCTGCATTTAGTAGCAAGCTAAATGCCAATTTTCTCTGGATTTGCTGCTTGTGGAAGGCTTCACAATGTAACTCTCCAGCCTCATTAAAGGAGTGAAAGGGATGTTTTGACAGCACTGTGTCTACAAAATTTACGAATCGATTTACCAAACCCCTCCTTTCCAACCTGGAATCCACACAAGTGGTACTTACGTGGTCGACGGAGTCCTCAGTTCTCCACTGACGGGGGGAGAAAGGAAGGAGGAGAGAAAAATGGAGACACAGAATTTTAAGGGGCAACGTGTAGGAAGGGGATGACGATGACAACAGCAGGGGTTAGCAGGACTGGGTTGGGGGGATTACAACACTTATACATAGAGGGTCACTTGGCACAGGCTGTGCCAAGGGAAGAGGTGGCATAGAGCAATTTTCTACATGCCGCTAGCCTGCACAGTAGGTCTGAGATCATTCACACAAACAGGGACAAACAGCTTCCTTCTTGTATGGACAGAAAAGTCACCACTTCCTAACTTTGTAGTCCTTTCCCCTTCTGGCATTGGGCTATTCTGCTTCTTCCACAAGTAGAACAAGAAGGGACAGCTTGTACCAACAAGGCTCTGCAGCTGACTGCTGTCCTGCATGGCACACAACAGATCTGTGGGCTGATGTCCAGTTTCTGCCTTAGTGATCCTTCAGCCACCATCTCTTGTTGAGAATGAAAGACTTCAACACACAAAATTCAGAGGGCACTCTCTGCAGGGAAGCACCAATGCAACATTTACAGAGCTTCTCTTTCCTGCATCATTTTCAAGAAAACGCTCTGGGGACCTCAGAAAACCGAGAAGAGCTGCACTCTAAGCTGCTTCTCCAACAAAGCTGTGTGTCTTGGAGCAAGGCTTGAACTGTTGCATATACTGAGGAAACAGCTTCTCACTTACAATTACACAACACCAAATGGCAAACACTTGTTTGGCAAGAGCAGCCCTGCAGGTAAGACTTTTACACAAACTATTTCCCAGCAATAGCTCATGTGGATTCCCAGCCATGGCAGCTCAATTAGGGCTCTGAAGAGGGAACATGCAGGTTTCTGGCTGGATTTGGGGTTCCAAGACATCAAAGCTGCACTGGGGTGGTGAAACAGACCTTGGCTGCTGCCACGCATGCCTGTAGCACTGTTCTTTGTGGTTGATGCACCAAAGGAAGGTTTGCAGAGATCATAGCGAGCTCTCTCAGCCAAGGTGATGTGTTCCATCTCAGGTTACTAAATCTGCCTGGAGGAAGCACTGGTCGATAGGTTCAAGCATAGAGATGAAAGTGGAAGATAGGTATTATTGCCCCTGACTCACAGTGTGAGCCTTGGCAGGCCTTTCTTCTGAGCCTGAGCTGCCAGCTGTGAAATGGTGCTCAGATACTGACTTCCCTGGGACACCAGGAAGCCCAGCTAATGCTGCTGAAGTGCTTGGGAACCTGCGGGTGCAGCAGTAACACTAAATGGCATTAAGGCTACAAGTTGCCTTTTGTACTCAGGCTATTTGAGGTGGCTTTCACAGGCTGCAACCTGTCACAGTGGCAGAGTACTCTCCTCAGCAGTAAAATACATGGCATACCTTCTAAATATTTGTTATTTTATTCTCTAAATTCAGAAAGAAGCAGATATTGGAGAAAAATTCTTCTAAGACTTTATTATAGTTCACTTATTTGATGCCATGAGACTGCAGTAAAATTATTCCCCTACACCATGTTAAAATTTAATTTCATCGCAGAGGTCAAGTTGTCCCTAAAGACTTCCTATAAAGCCAAAGCCCTCATGACGTATTATGGTCACCAAAGGCCCTCTTTCCACATACATCTTGGTGTTATTATTTCCAGTGTTGCATGCTTAGCTCAACCCAAGTCACTGCTTTCGATGGACTACCCACACGCCAGCCAGCCCACACCGTTGTCAACAGGCACATTCTCTGCCCTGCTGATCTAAAACCTGGCAGAAGTCTTGCTACAGGAAGGGTATGAAGCTGGTAGCTCTTTCTCCCAGATTTCTGCTCCAACACCACATCCCTGGTGGATGGGGGCCATGTGGATGTTAACACCCCAACCTGCCTTCATGTAGCTGCACGAGCAGAAGGTGACACCCCAATGCAATGAATAACAGAGCATACCTGGGCTCAGGAGGCTACTGCATATCACAGCCCACCCACACCTCAGCAGGGAGTTTATCACCTATCAGGATTTTAGACCAAGTGTTTGATGTTCAAACTCTGTTTGCTCTTATGTTTCAGTGGACTTTAATCTTGTGTCAGATCAGAGTGCAAAGAAATGCCTTGAGAACTGTGCTGAAGGAATAACAGCGAAAAGCCAGGCCTGCATAAATATGTTCAATATAAATTCAGTTTCATTATGAAAATATCATCTGCAGTTCAAAACATTTCCTTCCTTAAACTAGCTCAATTGCTTCTTAACTGTTGAAGGTTGGTCAGTAAGACAAATTGATCTGAAAAGCCCAGGAGTTGTCATAAAAAGAACTCAGACAGGGCTGTGTGCATGAGACAGGATGGCTCAGGGAAGTGCTAAAGCTAACAGTGTGTATTTATGGCAGCTGCAGTGCCTTAACGTTTCATTTTACACTTCAACACCACACAGCGCAGTCATGTCGCACCAGGGAATGGCTGTTTTCCCCGTCCATGACTCTTGCAAAAGACAGACTCAAGCCCTCCTAAACAGTCCCAGCTATGAGAAGTGAATATTGCAGTTTTCCTTCAGATCCTTCTCCTCTCTGCCTCAGTGACTGTGGCACAACTCACAGATATAAACTTGAGTGCTGGCTTGTGGGGATGTGGAGGGGTCTGAGGGCTGCATAAGTTCACCTTTGTCTATTACTTAAATGCCTCTTGGATGATGCCTTTCACTTTTATTCCACTTACGAAGCAGAGTACATCTCACCTCCATGCCAGACTCATGCATGAGTACACATGCACGAATTGTTCCAAGAAGATTCAAATAAAGATCCTTCACAATCACCCAGCGAAAGGGGGAGGCTGTAAATTCCTCTGTGTTGTGCCTGGGTGGGCAATGCCCAGGAAGCACAGGAGTCTCTGCTACCCTGTTTTCCTTTGATCTCAGTCCAACAGCTTGAAGTACTTGCTGTTACTTCCTTGGGCTCATCTGGAGCAAGCTGGTGGGACATGCAGTCAGCCTGCATGATGGATGGAGAAGTGCTGCCTGCAAAGACCACACAATATTCCCGTGAGCCAGCAGCCCTTCTTGTGGGCAGTGTGCCTCTCCCCTGCCATGACTGTTTGCAGAGCAGGAGGACAAGGAGGTGGCAGGAGTGTCTCCTCCACAAAGCCTGACCTCCTTGAACCCAGCCAGCTCCCAGCAGCAGAAGCACTGCTAAGCTCTCTGGGCAGGCTGGCTCTGCAGAGGGCTGTAAGCAAGGCTAAGGTCCACGTCCCAACCTCAGTGTGATGCAGGAGGCAGGATCCCGGGCAAATACGCTGCACAGTTGAGGGCAGGAGCAGTTCTTGGGGCCAGCCACACTGCAGCACAGGGTGAAGTGTCCCCTCAAGATGTTCCAGCCTGGGCTGAGAACAAGCAGGCTGGCCACATTTGCTTGTCCATCAGTCTGTCAGTAGGAGGCGAAGAGCTCAGACTGGAAGGCACGAGAAGTCTGATGGAGGTAATCAGTCTCAAGCACAGCCACACAGTGGAGGGAGAGGCCTCGGTTCCCTCACAGGACCTTCCAAATGACAGGTTACTTTCCCTAGGCAGGAGGCTGCAAAACAGAATGTTATCTCTCCAGCACTAGGGCTCCCACTTCTCTGCTGATGTTTTTAGTCCTTTCCACCCAAATGGTTTTGAAATCTCAGAATCTATATTATCTGCACAGCTAACATCTCCATTCCCTTTCCTTTTTCCTTTCATCTTCGTTTACTCTCTCTCCATTTCTCATCTTTAATCAGGAAAAATGATGAGTCAGCTTTAAAGCCAGTGTCTTCATACCATCTGCAGGAAGCAGATTATGTGGTACATACCTACTCAAAATCAGCAGACAGCCCGGCTAGGCAGGAGGAGGGGCTCTGTCTACATATCCACAGAATTTCTTCAGCCCCAGAGAAGAAAGCAGTTTAATTCTCTCCTTGTGCACTGGTAGAAATTTTTACAAATGTTTAAGAGTACTGAACTGTGGCTATATGCTGGCTATTTTCATCCTGTGACTTTCAGGGACAGGTGTTCCTTGTGGCTTTTTTTGTTTTCTTCCACAGAAATAACTCTTCCACAACTACTTGTTAAAGTTTCATCTAGCTGTTTGCAAAGACACACACTGCCATACTGAAAGATGGCAGCCCTTACAGGGTTCTTCAGCTTCTGGAACAGATGTATTTCATCACAAGCACAGGTCATGCCTGGCTTCTCACTCTTTTGGGAAATAAAGATCTCTTCTGCCAAGTCAGTGAAACCTCTTCCCTGCAGGGTCATCCTTAGTTTATCCCAGGAGTGACATGACTCCTTCAGAGTAGTCACTTTTCTGAAACTATCTTTTGGCCTTTGCTTCCATGCAAAAATTACAGCGGATGAATTGAGCAGCATACACACCAGAAAAAAAATAGTCACAGCACTCAAGAACTTTCCCACATAAATTCACCAAATATGAAAAACTGGTAAGTGGTCTGACATGCCAGGAAGCTTCAAACAACTTGCCTCCTTGATGCACACATTCAAAATAATGCAAAATCCAGAACTTCTTGGAAAGTTTCTGACTCTGGAATCCTCATTCCTGCACATTAACATGGGGTTTCTCTCTTTGAAATGTATGAGTAAGGAGTGAAAGCAGAACTGGCTGGGCAAGCATGAAATGTTTGAAAACACAAACAAGAACAACATTGCCAACTTCGCCCACCGATGCTTGGGATCAACCCAGTAACTCCAAACTCTAGCTGAACAACACAGCATCAACTGGTCAAACAATACGGAAGTTTATATCCTCCTGGAATAAGTAAAGCGCAGTAAGCTGCTGTTCTAATGATTCTGTGATTTTACGAAAATAAAGCAACATTTGAAACATGAACAGAGACATGTCCCAGACAACACTGCAAGGACCCTCAAAGCATTTTCTCTCTTTAAAGTTTTCCCCTTCCACATTATTTCTGAGTTTTATCCTTCAGAATATGAATGGGGAGTAAAGCTGCCTCTGTGCACTGCACTCCCCACTGACAAATGTATAAATGATTCACAGCTGCATTCAGGGCAGAGATCAATTAATCGTTGCAGCTCTCCAGTATTTATATTGGGCATCATTCAGGCACGTCAGCTCTGAATCGATTACTCGTCGCTTCCAACAGCAGCAGATCCTGTACTTCATTTATACGATTATCTTTGTAGAGAACAGCCTGGGTCATCCATGATGAAGGACCCTTGCTCCAAAGAAGAGTTGTATTTCACCACAGACAGGGCACCAAAACCTTCCCTGGACCCTGGGAAAGAAGCAACTACACATTGCTGGGCTGAGCACAGTGTGTATCTATGCCTGGAGCAGGGCTTCAGCTCACAACCAGCTAGGTACCCAGGATATTGCATAAGTATAAACAGATTGTTGTACGGGGTTGCAAAGTCAGAGGGCAGGGTGATGTGGGCCTGTAGGCCTGCACCTCACTTCTCGCCTGCCTCCCCATCAGCCTTTCCTAGACTCAGCTGGCTTCACCTACACTTTGGTTTCAAGAGGCAATGCAAGGTTCAAGTCCCTACCTTAGGAAAGCAGAAAGAAAGGGAGGCTTTACTGAGACAGAGGAGGGCTGCCCTGCCTGGTGTGCTATGCCCGCCCAACACCACAGAGCCATCCCCATGCCAAAAAAGCAGATAGCACTGCAGGGAATCTCTGCTGAGAGGGAAAAACTTTGCCCTGAACATAGACAGCACGAAAGAAGCAGACTTAAAGCCTTAAAACTCTGATGGTTTATAACCTGACTGGCAAAACCCAATTTGCTCTAGCTGAAATCTGCACAGGACGTGGCAAGTAGAGAGAGGTACATGCCAGAGAAAGGGTAAGGGAGAAGCATCATCCAATACATAATCTTTCCCACAGCAATCCTTCTTGAGTAAACATTTTACCAATTCGTAAGCCCCAGTTTAGGGATAAACTGTTTGCCTTGCTCAGGCAGGGCTGAATCCCTTGTACCTCTGGAGCTACAAGAGGCCAAGAAATACTTGGATCCAGCCAGCCTGGCCCTCTGCAGAGAAGAAAGGTGCCATGCCCACCAGCCCGTGATCCCCACACTGTACCTGTGCTTCTGACAGCATGACGTCCTTGATCACTGGCTGCCCTCGGGGCTCATTGTTTTCCAGCTTCACATATGTAACCTGGTACCCGCGGATCTGCCCGTGCTGCTTGTTGGAGATGGGCAGCTTCCAGCTCACCCGGATGGCAGTCGAATTCACAGACTCTACTTCCACCTTTCGAGGTGGGGCACTGGGCACTGTAACACACACAGGACAGAGAGTTAGCAGGTACCACACAACCACTGTCAATTACCTCTCACTCCTTCTCTACCTTCCCTCCACCTCACTGCAATGACAGCCCTGTTGGCACCTGTGCCTGCACCTATCCAAGATATCATACTGCAGTTTTCCAGTGTGGCCATATCCCCAACCCTTTCCCAGCATCCAAGCACTTCTGCTACTCCCAGTAGGAGAGAGTGTGACTGTGACATGCAGAAGTACCTCTAAAAGCCACTGTGCTGGATCAGACCCAAGGTCCCTCTCTCTCCAGCAGTAAGGGAGCAAAGAAGAATACAAGAATATAGCAGAATATGAGAATATGGTAACCCTCTGCAGCTCAGGGTGCCCTGCAGCAGAGGGAGGGGTACTGAAGCTGCCTTTGCATCCTGCCTATCAGAACACCTCCTCTCAGATCCCACTGCATACATCTAGACACAGCCCAAGAGCCCCAGGTAGTGCAACTGGGCACTGACCCTGCCTTGCGGGGAGCCCTGGTACCTGCCACCAGCCAGAGTGCACACGTGCTCTTCCCCTGTGACAGCAAGAGGTTAATGAGGGGGAAAAGCACCATCCTAAAACAATAACCCAGAGCTCAGAGACAGCAGTCACTGAACTCAGTCAGATAAAGGGGCCTGTGGGGATTGTGACAGCTCTGGGGACTGTATTTCATGCACGGCTAGCTGCATGCTTTTTGATAATAAAATGAAAAATTACACTGCACACAAAATATCAATTTTCTTGCAAGGTGAGGCCCGTTTAAAAATGTATTTATACCCTATTTACCATTTGGAAAAATTACCTCCTTATTACTTTTTGCTCTTGCATTGACTGTGACAAAAATGTCAATGCTAAAATATGAGCTTCTCAGTTGCTCCTGGAAAGCTCCTTCTGGCTGAAGCAGCTGGGAACAGAGGTGTGCACTCCCTGTGGAACATACTGCTGCTAGCCAAGTACCCGGTAGCCAAGCGAAGGACCCGGGCTCCATCCTTGCACCGCTACTGCAGCACCCCTTCCGCTCTCCACTGCCCAGTAAAATCCAGGGGTTTGGAACCCTGTATGCCCCAATTCTCAGCACAGCAAGAAATAATCAGTAATATATAATTAGGGATGGATAGCTGACAAGCAGACATAATGAGGATTGCTATTTCAACCAACTAGATGGGAAGAAACAGCTACCCAGCAGGTAAGCACAGTTTTTAAGCTGCAGGGCAATTCATTATTTTCCCCAGATGTCCTTCTTAATTGTAGATAATTAAATAAAATAGAGAAAGGAGGAACGGAGCACTTTAGCACCATGAGGCCAGCTCAAGGTATGGGAATGGAGGGGGCTGCGCTTGAATAGTTACCTCCTTCTGGCTGGAGCAGCCTATGCTGTAATCCACATTTCACTTAGTGCAGCGACCTTGCACAAGCCACAGGGCTCTCCCGCCCTAGCATGACACCTGCCCACACACCCAGTAGGGAGTCCAAGTGAAAAACAAGATCCTCCCTGAGAACCAGGCAGAAGCTGTATGTCAAGCTCTGCTGGCAAGAAAAGGCAGGAGGCCTCGTCAGGACATCATATGGGGATGTTGCAGGGACAAGAAGAGATGTGAGTGTGAGCAGACCACAGTGAAGAACGCTATCTTACCCCATTATGGGAATATGTGCTGTGTCCGAGACCCAAACAGGCAAAGTTCAAATTTGTTTTCAGATCACAGTTTAGCATTTTTCATTCCTTCATCATGGGTATCTACCGAGCAGCAGCATGTCAGAGGGATATGAAATCACTCTTGACAGCTAAGCTGGAATGTCCAACCATGGTGCCCGAAAACCAAGCAAGAGTGCTTGCTGCGACATTTCTGGGGTAGCAGCTTCCCCTGGGCTACAACTCTGCTGAATGAGAACTGAAGCAAACAATAGAGGCAGCAGGACACACACAGATGTGTTTGCCAGCCTAGGAATGCAGTCAGCAAGCATTCCCAGACACTACTTCCAGAGCCACGGAGACATGGGGGACAGTGGCAGCCCATTTAGGGAAACTGTAACGTGTCTGGTTTCAATTTGCTATGCTGACTGAGCAATGCGGAGATGATCCCTTCTTTGCCTGGATGCTGCATCTCTTTCTTCTCCCATTAAACCTGCAGCTTCTGGGGTCAGCATGAAGCCATGGAAGCTCATACTGTCACCCTGAGCTCTGACACTTTCAAAGGAAATGGCTTAAGTCACGATGACATAACTGACAGCCCTGCTAATACAAAGCAATTTCTCTTTAAAGCTGTCGTATCCAGTAAAGTGTTCTGTACATGTGATATTCTGACTCTTGAGCGGAAGAGCAGATTTATATAAGCTGTGGCTTGCCTGGAAGCTGGGGCAGGAAGCAGCTTTCCTGTGGTATCTGCAAGTTTCAAATGGATTTCTTTTCCCCTCTTTAGTTTGCTGGATTTCAGGTCAACAAGTAAACTTTAAGTCCCGATCTCACAATGTGAGAAAAGCCTTTGGCTGAGAAAACTCCTATTACTTTCAGTAAAATGGAAAACCACCACCACCAAACACTAGAAAGCCAAAATAGGAAAGCAGTGTAATGCCTCCTCATGTGTGCAGGAAGCACTGTTAACACACACAGGAACCTTGTGGGACCACGCCAGGAGATCTGACCCACAGCCTTTAGGCAACCATATCGTATCAAAGCAAGGGTCAGCAGAACAATTCCCCTACTCCACTCCAGGGCAACCGAGGAGACTCACTCCTTGGAGCAGTTGACTAAGGAACTGCTCCAAACAGCCTCCAGTCCTGTTTGAAAAGCACTCCCAAGGCCAATATCCCCACTCCCCTTCCCCCGTTTTCCAGCAGCTCAGCTAGGAGAGTCCTGGGTTACCCCAAGGTGGTAGCTGAAGGAGCTGTTCAGTAACACCTACCATCCTCATCAGTGCGGACGTGAACGGGGATGCTCTCCGGTCCTGGCCCCACATCGGTGTGAGCCCTTACCCACACCTTGTACTCGGTCCATTTCTCCAGGTCCTTGATCTCCCAGCTGGAGTGCTCCCGTCCAATGCCATCCACCACATGCTTGGTGTTGTCATCTCCTTCCACTGCCTGGTAGGCAATGGAGTACTGGGTGATGACCCCATTGCGGCTCTGGGCAGGTGGTGGCACCCAACTTACCCGGATGGTAGTGGAGCTGGTGCTTACACACTCGACTTCTTGGGGTGGGGCGGAGGGGGCTGGGGATAAATAAATGAAGTGGGGAGATGAAGGGAAATGAGTGGAAGGACAAACAAAAGGGAACTTTTACCCAGCCAACAGAACACTGAACATACACATGGACATTCAGCCAGTAGCTTCCTGGACAACTGCCTGCCTGCCTGCCTTGCAGATCAAAGATGGCACTAGGGGCAATTTGTATTTGAAAGCCTGATGAACAGCATGGAGACAGAAATGCTGTTCTGCGTCAGAGAACACCTCTTCCTAAAGCAGTTCTGGACGCTCACTTCATCAAACACAACAAATGGCAGTAAGGGAAGGATGGTGAGAAAGAGAGAGACTGGTAGGGAGAAGAAAGATGCTTTCAGTGAAGATCTGAAGCAGATGGAAACCAGAAGAGGTAGGAAGCTACAGAAGGCAAGAGTGGCAGAAGGGAAGCTCACACACCAGATTGTATGAAGGCTTGAAAAACCTGCTCCTAGACAAATGAAGGAAACAAAAGAGGGCAGGGAAAGCAGGTGACTGAGGCTGCCTGGAGTGTGTCCAGCGAGGTCTGGAATCACAACCATCAGCTGTGAGCAGCACCCTGATCCATGTGGGAGCCAGGCACCATGTGGAAACAGGAGATAACATGGTTGTGCTGCTTTGCATGTGTGCCTAGTATCTAGGACCAACTGCTTCATGCCTGTCAAACTGGTTACCTGCCTCAGGAGCTTCCTGGCCTATGGAGCTGTACAGGGGAAGGCAGGCAGATCTTGCCCCCTCACAGGCAAAGAAACCATCTGCAGTTTGTACTAACTGCTAAGACCCAGCAACGTTAAGTGTCCACAGGGAGAGGAATGGGATGTGGGCAGTGGATGCTTCAGGATGAGGAGCAGTCGCTGCCACACAGCATTGCTGTGGAACAGCAGCAAAACAAATCTAGGGGGTGAAAAGAGGGATCAGGAAAGAAGAGACAACTTGAACAAAGCAGAGCATCTCTATATAATTGCCTGGTTCATTCCCTTCTCCAGCACTGCAGAACTGCTGTCCTGTTGCAACAGGGCCCCAGCAGCATGGGAGTCCTCCCACAGCAGCAGCAGGCTCCTCTGATTTGGCCTCACTGCCCAGGGATGCTGCAGACAGCATGCATGCAAAGAAGGCAAGGGTGGAAAGCATGGAGAAAGAAGGGAGTCCACCTGGTCAGGGTAGGCACAAGGGAGATGGGTGCAATCTTGGGTGCTTGCACAGAAAGCAAGAGCCCCAAGCACTGAGAGCAGGGCACCATCACCAAAAATAGCACACAGTTGCTTTAAGGCTAGGAAGCTTCTCGCCTGCAATAAGGCAGGTACAAGGTTTCTTGCTTTGCTATGGCAGATGAAAGGCCGCTTCCATTTGTCACTGCACCCAGAAACCTAGAAAAGGCTGAAAAAAGACTGTTGCCCTTCCCCATGCTGCAGTTCTTGAAGCCATCAGTGCACCAGAGCCAGCCTTCCCAGGGTCAAGCTGGCAAGGGACAAGCCTGCCTGCTCACTGCCTGCACAAAAGGGAACACAACCTACATTACTCCAGATGGCAGCAGGGACCTCAGATAATTAAAGCACCCAGCGATTGTGCCTTGGCTATGTTGGGCACAGGTCGGCAGTGGGAGAAGACTTGGGAAAGCTGGGGACAGCAGAACCTCCCAACTCCACTGGTGACCTCTGCTTGTAGAGCACAAGGCCCATTTGCTTGCAGAGACAGTCACAAGCTGCATGTAATTCTTTACGCCTGCTTCAGTGCTCAGGGAGCAGGGCCCATCTCTGATGCCTGCACTGGGGTGTCTGGAGAGAGGAAAGATGAGTGGGCAGTGATGGATCTGGAAGAGATGATGCCTGAGCAGAGTCAGACTGCTGCTATGGGAAAGAGAAGTCAAAGCAGTGCGTGGAAGGGAAGCAAACAGTTGCTTATGTGAGGGAGGGCTGATCCTGCTCTGCCATCTGGTATACTGGAAGGGAGCAGGGGTAGAAAACGAATCCTCACACTCTTTTGGTTAATCAGCAGAGAAGTGGCAGGGAAGAGAGTAGGAAGATGTAACACCAAAGCAACAGCAAAAGTGAGCTCAGAGAGAGCTGAGACAAAGCAACTGGTCAGAAGGGACAGATGAGACATAAGGAGCTTGGCAAGCCTTTCCTTTGCCACTGTCTGCAGAGAGGCCATTCACAGAAGAGATTAGCTCTGGCTTTGTCGCTCCACAGCATCACTAAGGATGTGGCACTGAACTTCTTCTCCAAAGGCAGCTGCGGCTGGCAGGGTAGGCAGGTCTAAAGTTGACTGGGTAAGAGTCATAAACATGGTGTGCAAGGCAAAACTCAGATTAATATGTAAAGGAAACAAAATAAAACTTGGTAACATGAGCAGGATCAACTTAAAATGAACAAGGAGTGGGACTGTCCCTCCTGGGGCCAGCAAAGAGCAGACTGGGTGGCCAGCATGCACCCACACACACAGATGTATCCACACTGAAAACCTCTGCTGCCTCCAGGCTACTCACACCAGCCTCCCCCACTGGTCCACAGCAGCCCTGTGCACCCATCCAGCCCACCTACTCTGTAAGCTAGGGAAAAGGCAGCCTCCAGACCCACCTTCGTATTTCAAGCAAGAACAGCATTTTAATGCCAAGGCCTGATGGGCTCCTCTCCTACATCACATTGCTTGCCTGAGGCACTGCAGGCTCCTGGAAAACTCCCCCGTGCTCCTCAGGCCCTCAAAGCAGCACTGTTTGTACTTTTTGCAGGGTGCCCAGCAACTAAGCAAGCAGCTTAGCAGGAAAGACAGCCCAAAGGCTTCTTAGAAGATGGGGTCCAAGCTGTGTTGCTTGAAGGGTGCAAAGGGGCACTGCATCCATCTAGCCTTCCTGGAAAAGCATCCCTACCACTCCTAAGCAGGGATGCCACAAGAAAAGCCCAGCAGCAGCAATACAGATGTCCTTCTCCAGGCTGTTAGTAACCCACTAGTGATGATGTGCCTGCTACCTTACCTGCGACTGGTTTGTTAGGGCCAGGAATAAAGCCTGAAGACAGGCTATTTGGAAAGCAGGAGTCTGAGTGCTCCTGCAGTTTGTGTCCCACCTCAACATGTCAACCTCCAAGATCTAACAGCCTTTCTCAGGGCCAGCAGACGGAAGAGTGCAGGAACGAGACCAGTTTGAAACTGGGAGCAACACTCTTTCTAGATCAGTACATTCTAAGGCCACAGGGGACCAATCAAACCATCTAATGCTAAGTGCAGATCAGAAAATTTCTGCCTGGAAGTTGTGTACACAACTTCTGCTGAGCTTAAGCAGAGCTTTCTGAAAGACCTATTTGACTTCGAGACACCCAGTACCCAAGAATTTACTCTGCCCTGGGACTGTTCAGCCAGTGCTTGCCACCCTCATTGAATAGTCCAGTAGTAACTGCTGAGGACTTTTCTCATAGAACAGAGTGCCACCAGAAATCTCCATTAGAGGCTTGTAAACCAAGACCCAGTCACTTCTTGGATAAATCAAAGAACTCGTAGGTCCCTCAGTGTAAGGATGGTTTCATTGCTCAAGCAAAGGTATTCCCATGGCTTTTGGACAAACCCCTTCCATCTTGTGCATATTTCTCTTACTAAACAGATGCCAGAACCAGACAGCTACTGCTCCACTGGCTAGCGAAGCAACAACCTTAAAAACAGACCAGTATGAGATCCCCTGTGAGCAGACAGCATGTGGAACAGGTCATGGGAAGATGTTCGCCTTGAAGAGTCCACGAAGCAGAGGTTTTGCTTACTTGGACTGTTGTGAGACTCTGAAGAACTCATTTATGCATGGAGCTGTCTCTGATTAAGTGTGTTCAAGGATAAGAGCATCCACTGATGGAATTAATTTAAGTGGCAGGAGAGTTGCTTCAACCTTTGCCTATCAATACAAAAGCTATCTGAAATAGGTATACAAATCCCCACACTTGGAATTCGTTCTCAGTGTTCAAATATTTATAACTGCATGATCTGAACCTTTCTCCACTCTCATACCTGTCTATCGTGTGGCACTAAGCCACCATTAGCTCACTTAACGAGGTGGAGGAATCCCTGCAACTGATATGCTAATGAAACTGAGTTTTGCTCAAAGAGAAGGTCACTCCAGTAGTGAGCAGAGTTGCTCTTCCCTGCCTGAGCTCCCTTTCTAATGGCCATCTCAGGCTCTCAGCTGCTGTGCATGCTGGTGCCCTCCCTGCAGGGATGGCTGGCTGCCTTTGCCAACTGCTCACCCCACATAGCTAGTAAATCCCAGACAGACGGTGTTAACTGAAATGTCTTTTTTCCCCCTTTTAATGCTCTTTGCATAATGGCAAGCCCAAAAATCGTTAGTGAAAACGAGCTTATCGCAGGGCCCTTTGATAGCCCTAATCTGCTTATGCACAGCACTTTGAGCTGCCAGTCAGAGCAATGCAAACTCCTGTTCTGTGATCACATGGGGCAGAGCAAGGATGAAAGTGATATTGCCTGGGTCACCTCATTATCTAGCCTCTCTATTAACTTGGCTGCAGCTTGTTCTGGTTTCCCCTAGCGCTGCAGTCCCAGAAGCATCAGCCTTACTTGCTCACACAACCCAGGCAATCAACCACTTTGCCAAACTTCGACTCCACCAGCTGCCTGAGAGCCACAAGCACATCTGGCCTTAAAGGATGCCTCATCCTGCTATCAAGTGTATGGACCAGAGATGGACTCCTGTGGAAGGAAGGCAGCTGGAATGGGAAGTGAAGGGATGAAAATCCAATAGTCTGGAGACAGCCCCATTTAGAGCCAAACACCCATATACTGCCTGTCCAGACAGCTTGTCTTCATGGGAGCAAATTCATAGAGATGCACAAACCCACTCAAATCAATCTCTCCAAAGCAATTTCCCAGCCTGTTTCACTCCTCCATTATTTTTTATGAATCTACCCTAAGGGAAAGACAGCATGATCAAAGGGACATGAAGAACGAACTTACCACTTGGGTGCACCCCCTCTGCCAAAGAGCCCTGATCCAAAACCCCAGCTGACTTTCCCCATTACACCCTTCAGCAAACTGCATGCTGGCATCCCTGTGGACCCACAAAGGAAGAGGCACTGGGCTACTCCATGCCCAGGCTATGGAAACTGGACTGCTTTTGCTTTGTCTTCAGCAGTGCAGAGTATCAGACACTTACTGGATTGGGCAGTTCTGGCTTCGATCATGGGGGTGTAGACTCCTACACCCAGCTCTGAGCGGGCACCCAGACGGAACTTATATAGCGTGTCTGGTTTGAGGCCTTCCACAGCATACGAGGATGTTGGGTCAAACTCCACCTTTTGCTGGCAAATAAAAGGAAACACAGATTATTTGGTGTAGTTGGAAAGTCTAGAAAAGCTGGTCCTCAGCTCTCCATGCCAAGGGAACAGGCAGCTCCATCACCAGTTCTGGCCCCACAGAAAGTCACAGCTATGCTGCCAAAGCTGTTGCTGTCCTGCAGGACTCCAAGGCATGGAGCTTCTTGAGAGAAATACAAGGACTCTGGCAGACCTCTCCGACAGCCAGGCTACACTGGTGTCCAGACTGCACTCACTGTCTGTCAGCTTTGTAGGAATGCTGGGACTAGCTATATAGTTCAGATGAGGGGGACAGGACACATGTTTGTTTTCTCCCAACAGACAGTGCCTGCCTGTGAAACAGAGTAAAGCCTTGTCCTAAAGCAGTTGGGATCTCTAATACACCTAAACAGCGCTGGTAAAGGACTTGCTGTGCTGTCACTTCGCTTGGAAGGCACTTACTTCTGGCAGCTCTCATGCCAATATGAATACAGGAGGAGAAAAGGACTATGGGACACTGTGAAGCTGCCAGCTGCCATGGCACAGTTCTCTCTGTGCTGCCCTGAAGCCAGCACTACTTTTCATATATTTAGAGCTGGACTTCCTTTACAGAGCCGGCAGTAAGTGTGGAAGGGCTCTCTCTAGGTCACCCTCAACCTGTTCCTTAAGTGTAACCAGTCCTGGAGCTGCAGACACATATTGGAGGCCATTTCAGACCCACATAGAAGCCCTACTGTCTTTAAAGGCACCAGCAATAAGGATGCCTCAGGGATGGTGTCATGGTATTCTGGAGCCTTTTCAGTCCCAAACCAGTCACTAGTTACTTTGTTAGGCATCAACAAACACTGCTGAGGTCACTTACACAGCAGCCAGAGACTGTCATACTCCTATACACACCCCTGAGACAGAAGAAACACAGAATAGAAATGGTCGTGCTGTCACCTCAGCTCAAGCAGACACCTTTCCCAAACTGCTGAATTGATACGTCTGGCCCCAAGTGCTGCTGATGCAGAGGCAGGATCCTCACCTGGGTGCCATCCTCCCCTTCCCAGTACAGCAGCTCGTATTTGGTAATGCGTTCCTGAGAGGCAGGCAGCCATGTCAACAAGATGCGGGTATCAGACTCTGCTTCTGCCTGGAAGTCAGCTGGCTGAGCAGGAACTGGGGACCAAACACATGGTTAGTGCCAGGAGGCATATGCAGGCAAAGGAGTCGCATGGCTTTGCAGAGTTTGTGTTTCACCTTGCGAGGATCCTCTTTCATTCCTTCTGGACTCTCCCTTCCTCCCTTTCCCCCATATTGTGCTCCTGGAACAACCCAAGCAAAAAGCAAGCACCTTTGGGACCCAGGCAGGTGACTATGGGAATCACGTTCACTTCCAGCCCCTGACTGCATCTCAGCTCCCTCCTTCCACATGTGTACTCAGACCCCAGAAGGGTCCAGCACAGTTGGATGCCAACATCATGCCCAGGACCTTGTGTCACATCTTAAGCCACTGTATCCCAGACAAAACTGCGGGCTGAGTTACTTGCAGAGATTGATACCAACTACCCAGGACAAGCTGACAGCTTAAATCTGATAGCTGTGGGGTAGGGATGCCACTCTGACATGCAACTGTTTGATCACCAAGTGCAGTTGTGATGCCTGGTGCAGATCAGACACACAGCTGAGCCGCACAAGTCTGAGGTGCACATGGAGCCACAGCACATCACTCCATACATACCCCCTTGCTGCGTTTTGACCTGGATGATGTCCGAGGGGGGTCCATCGCCCACTGAAGTAAAGGCCAGGACACGGATGCTGTACGTGGTCCCTGTGATGAGGCTCCCAACGGTGGTGAGGTGACTGTCATCAGTGTTGTGTTTCTGCCACATGCTCAAAGGCAGATGCGGGTCGGTGGTATAGTAAACACGGTACCCTCGGATCTGTCCATTTGGCTCCTCTGGCTGCTCCCACTGGACCAGCATGGTGCTGGCGCTCAGCATCCGTGCCTGGACTTTGAGAGGTGGACTTGAAGGAGCTTGTTCTCCTGTCCGGGCCTCGACCAGCTCACTGGGGGGACCCCTGCCAATGTTATTGACTGCGATGACCCGGAACTCATACTCTGAGAAAGGGCTGAGCCCACCTATGCTATAGCGGGTTGTTGCCACACCATCCACCTCCTGGAACTGACCCTCCAAGGATTTGGGCTTGTACTGGATGACGTAATATGAAATCGGGTCAGAGTTGCCTGAATCCCAGGTGAGGGTCACGCTGGTAGCTGTCGTTTCAGTCACTAATGGCTCTGTTGGAGGTTTTGGCAGTGCTGCAATTGGAAGGCAAAGAGGTGTGATTTAAATAATTCAGTCAGCTCAAACCCTGCAATGTGCACGGGGATAAAAATGGAGCTGCCACCTCCCATTAACATTCTTCTTTAAAAGGCAGAAATCATTTCATACTCTACAACATGCATTTTTATATTACCATATATTGCTTGAAGTGGTTCTTAATGGAAGGATAAACAGAGCAATCATGTTATTAGACGTGCTTGATGCACTTACCAGCAGCAGGCTAAATAAAGGTAATTCAACGGGGATGCAGGAATGTTTCTGTCATGGGGGTTCAGCTGGCAGTGGGAAGGTGCTTGCTGGGCTGGGCTGGCCCCAGAAGCCAGGTGTACATCTGATTTACAAGGGATACAGTAAAGCAATCAGAGCACCACAGGTAATCTGCAGTTATGCTCCTGCTTTCACAGAGACAGCATCTTAGGCCATAGGGAATTCATGGACAGTGCTGTTAGATGGGTTGATGGGGGAATGTCTTGTAAGTATTGCAACACATGCAGGAGGGATACAGCCAGAGAAATTACCAACTTTCACATCCACTATTTCACTTGGTGGTGTGTCAAACTGCAACCAGACAATAAACTGTTACACAAGAACTCTGTGATACTGACATCTCTGAAGTGTTAATGAGAAAGCAACTACTGCAAGCAAACATTTCCGGATTTGCTATTTTACCAAAAGAACAAAGAAAGAGAATGAGTGTGTGAGAGAAAGATTTGCAGAGTACACAAATACTTTAAGACAATGACTGAATTAAAGTCTACAGTAAGTTTAAACCTCCTACAAACCACTCCAGTTAAAGTCATTAGTGACTTGTAATGCAGCTGTGCTTCATGAACTACGAAAATGCTCAGCCCAAATTAAGATCCTCAAGTATTTAATTCTTTGGCAAAGCCAACAGGTTTCCAGTTTCCACGTGGTTCAGCTGAGGAGGGCAGGCTCTATAGCACAGGAGTGCTGGGGAAAATGCTTTTTCCAGTGCTACTGCAACATGAACACTGGGAGATTGGTGAGGACTGGACTGGCATGGGAGGGAAAGGCACGCAACCCACAAGCAGACACCACACATCTACCCATGGAGGACTCAGAGAGGGCAAATATCCTGCCCAATATTACAGCCTGAAGCAACACATATCCTAAAGCATCCAAGAAATTGGCAGCCTCCCTCAGGCTTTCAAGGACAGATGACACTCATCCACCCCTGCCTTTGGAAGCTTGACTCTTGCCAGTTTGTGGGTGTGCAGCCTGTAAGTGAGGAAGGGACAGGTCTCATACCTGTGATGCACTCACTGCAATTAGCTCTGTGCCATTGTGCTTCTCCTGTCTAACCCTGCAAACTGTCTATTTCCCAGCAAGCATAGGAGAAGCAACACTGGATGAAGGAATTAGGGTCAGAGGCAGTCATAGATCCAGAGTGAAGGTGCAGAAAAGACAGACGAGAGAAACAAGGAGGAAGGCAAAGGGCTAAAGGAGCTGAGCAGACTGCTCCCTGTCCTGGAGACCTCTGCAGTCCTGGGGTGGCAGTAGGCACCATGTCAGGCAAAGAGGGAGTGAGGCAGAGCTGTCCCAGATACAAAGAGGTAAATACTGGGAACCACCAGGGCAACGGTGCAGCTCCCACCTCCTCCCTCCACATCCAAACCACCTCCCCATCATGCCCCTTTCTTTTATACACTCTTGGGTAGGTACTATAACCAAGGCAACCCCTGTGCTCTGTAAGAAAATGGGAGCTGGAAAACGTACTGACAAGCAGGCACCATGAGTAAAGGGAGCACTGTACAGCTAAGGTTAAAAGCATCCTCTGACCAGAACCAGGGAAAAGAGAATTTGCTGTTAATCTTCAGGTCAGAGAGGGCTAACACTCAGTTCTGTGATTTGTTCAAGCAGGGACTCGATGCTAGAGGTGGCCATAGAGCAGGAGGGGTCCTGCAAGAACAGAGAGAACAGACAGACTCAGAAGATAACGTTATCTGTGGAAACCTGAGCTACAAACCAACTGTAAACAGAGGAGGAAAGGGATAGTGTGGACCTGCTTGGTCCCAGATGGGAAAGGCAGGACACATGCTTCAGCCTCCCATTACAGAGCTGCCTGGATGGGCTGCCATGTGGTCAGCAATCAGCAGTAACATCCTCTTTGGGGCAAAGGTACCTGTGAAATGGCAGCAGGAAGCATGCCTTAAGGACAGCAACAAAAGAGAAATGGAAAAAGGCAGAGCAGTAAGGAGGAAAAGAGAAAACTGTCGGAGGAATACACAACAGTTAAAAAATGAGCACAGACAGCTCCACCTTGCAAGGGGAGGGCAGGAATGCTCATTCTGGTGAGGCCCACAGACACTTCACATTGCTGAGGTGAACCTTCTTGTCCCACTCTTTTTGCAAAAGGACATCTCTGTGCAAACAGCTCTTTGAGTGCAGACATCCACAGCCCCCCTCCTCAGGACAGCCTATGGCCTACCGCTGTGCTGATCCTGCTGATACAGAGAACAAGCCAGAAACTGCTGGATGAACACAGGCTTGATGAGGTCCCCTCGTGGCATACCAAGGACCCAGCCTGACACAAGACCGTCTCCCATAATGCCACATGTATGTGGAAATATGTGGAAATGACCTTCAAAGCAAATACTACACTGTGAGCAGAAAGAAACAAAGTTGTGGGTTTGGAAACCTCCCTTACAAGGTCGAAAAGTCTCAAAAGACTGCAGTCAATCTGTACCTAGTGACACTTTGGCAGAGGGCTTCGCTGTTGAAATCCTATCAGAAACACCACAAGGAGTAATTGCTTACCTTTGACAGTGATCTGGGCTGTGGCTTCGATCATGCCGAGGGAAGAGATGGCCACACAGGTGTAGTTGGCAGACTGCATGATGTTGTTCAGCTCCAAGACATTCCTACCGACGGGCATCTCATCCTCTTTGGTCAGCTCCTCCACACCAGCCATCCACTTCACGTAGGGCATTGGAGCGCCTACTGCCACACATGTGAGGTTCACGCTCCCCCCAGGCATCACCTCATGGTTGCTCGGAGGGATAGAGAATCGAGGAGCAACACGCCGCACTGAAACAAGGAGGAGACAGCTAGTAGGGTCACAGAACCAGCAGAGAGCACTCAGTTGCATTGCGGTGGTACGTGAGGGGGGTTCAATAGTTTTGCCTGTCTATCCCTCGGGACAGATAAAATTAAGTGCAAAAGCTGTTCCCTGCTTTGCCAAATTGCACACACTTTGCTCTCCTTCCTTAGCCACTGGCATCTTATTAGAAGAACTCATTAAGGGATGGCTCAATCCATTCCCTCCAAACATAGCCTTTTGAAATCATATTACTAACATGAAACATTCCTCCATTTAAATTACATTCCTCTAATTAGAGAGCATGCACAAATGCCAGTCGCACACTCTCTCTGCGCAGGGCCCCACTGAAGCTCTGCAAAACGGAATTACCTGCTCAATTTATTAGCTCCAGAGTAAAGCAACCTGTCCCCTAAACCTCAGAGGGTTTGGGCAGGAGCAGCAGAAGGGTTTCTTTTGGAATTAGCACACGTGCACTGCTAAATAAAATATAATTCCTTTCAAAATGTAACTCAGGTTCTATGTTGGCTCAGAAAAAATAGTCACCAGAGCTGCATGACATTGTCAGGGCCTGAACAGATCACCTTGCTGGGCAGGAGAGAACTAATCCTGACAGATGTGAGATCATATCCATTTTGACAGAATAGAGCAGGGCTGGCAGAACCCTTCCCACCTTTGTGGCAGCACTTCGGGAGATGTATTCCTCCTTATTTCATTGTGCAGCTTCTCTTCATATCAATCCCTTGCTGGGTATTTCATTCAAGACTTATTTGTAAGCAACTCTCAGCTACAATAAAGCTCTAAAGCTGCCTGCCATATGCATTCCCGTCAGGAAAATGACACTGAGAAATGAGGCCCCTTCTTCAGGGTTAGTGTTATGGGCCTATTTAAGCAAGGGTAGAGAAACAACTGTGCTCGGTAAATCTTTGTCTCCTCTGGGCAAGCTCATTTTAGTCTGTAGTTAAAAAGGGAAACTGCTCGAACGTGTCTCGCCCAGCAGCCCTGCTCTGCTCTAGCCTCCTCCACCAGAAAGGCAGCCCCAGAGCATCGGCCAGGTTCATGACTGATCGGCTCCCAAGGAGCCTCATCCTGCCAATTACGCTCCTCCATCAGCGCACTGGGCAGGTGGAGCAGCCAACAGCCGTGGCGCTGGGGCAGGTGGAAATGGGGGCAGGTGGAAATGGGGGCAGGAGCCGGAGCGGTGCCAGCTCACAACATGCCACAGGCACAACCGGCCCCATGGGCGCTGCGGGACTGGGGGGACATGGCTCTGCTGGCCTGGCTCCTGCTACCACGATGTCTCCGCAGGCAGTAAAGCTGCTGACAGCCCGGTGAGCCACAGAGGTGTCAGCTCTGCTCGCCAAGCTGACTCTCCCCAAATCAAATTTCACTAGTGCTCTCTTTGATGACTCATCCCCAAAGCAACAGGCTCACAGAAATAGACTGAACACAGAAGCCCCCACGCTAGCATGTACAACAGAGCTAAGACTTCGTGATAAATTAGACAATACTGTCAACATCGTGTGTGTACTACACATCGTCTCGGTGACAAAACAGGGCTCATTAGCTCCTTACCAGCCAGGGGAAGGATAACTTGCCTTTCTTTTTTTTTTTTTTCCCTCCTCCTTCTTTGAATGTCTAAATCCAAAGTCTTGATGGTTGTTTCTTTTAATCAATTATTAATTCTCAAATCAATAGCTACATGAGCGATCGCCAGTGAGGCGTTACCTGACTGATGGGGCAGTGCTCCCCAAACGAGATAGAACTGAAAGTGTACTAAAGTGCTACACAGTCATGAGAATACAGAGTTCACCTGATGGACATGGCAATGATTTAACATGATGGCGTGTTATTTCCAACCAAAGCATCCCAGCACCATTTGTTAAGAGTAAGGTTTCATTTTCCAGTGAACATGGTGTTGAATTATTCCAGGTAAAAGCTGTTCAATTTCCATCCCCATCCAAGGACCAAACCCACCCATACCGTATTAAAATAAAAAAGAGCAAACCTCGAGGATAAAGCCATACGTGTGCACAGAGCACTCACACATGCACCAGGCAAACAGGCACCGGAGGCCACTACAGAGCCAGAAAGAAAGCAGTGCGAGGGCAGGACGGAAAGGGAAGGGACACAGCAACTCACACACAGGGACATGGGAAGACAAAGAGACTGGAGGACAAGAGGCCATGCAGGAAGGTCATAGCCCAACATGCACAAACAGATTTTGACTCCCAGCCTTGTGAGACCAGAGGCAGCACAGCCTGCTGCAGACTCCCCTTACCCTGCACTGTGCCCCTGTGTCAAGCACTGCCTTTAGGGTGCCCCTGGGGCCAGCCTGAGCCCCACCAGTGCCGTGTCCTCCTTGATGTGTCCTGCAG